AAACAGAAATGTGTCCCTTTGCAAAATCATAAACACTGACAAATAAGAGAGCACGACACTGTATGATTTCTAGAGCTGATCTAGGGCAATTTGTTCAGCAGAGTGATGTAAGCTTCGTTATGATTGCATCATCCATGACTTCTAGGAATAACATGGGCTGTAGTCCACGAAAGCTTATGCTCTAATAAATTTGTTAGTCTCTAAGGTGCCACAAGTCCTCCTGTTCTTCTTTTTGCGGATACAGACTAACACGGCTGCTACTCTGAAACCTGTCATGATGCAATTCATATCATGTATGACGCAATACCCGCTTCAGATTGCATCATTCATTGTTTTGCCTAAAAAGCAAGTACTGTCCAAACCCAGTCATAGATTTATTCATAGATCCAGTCAAAGATGTATTTTAGTCATTTCTGGTTTCAATGGAGATCCCTTCCCTTTATAACTCACTTATCCTCCGCCATTCCCAAGTCCAGGGTCGTATATACTGACCCAATAGCATATCTTGAAAACTAGAGCCAATCAACAATTTTAAGCATCATTTTCGTTCTCAGTGACCCAGGATCAGTAAAGTTTGACTCCATTTATTTCAGAAGCATTTTGGCTGCAGAGCAGTGGAATCCTACCTTCCCCCGGCCTGGCAGTTTGTTTACTTTGTGTATGCGGCGTCTGGCTGTATAATCTGTTCGTTTTCTTTCCGGTTTTCTGTGGGTCTTTCAGACAGCAATGGGGTGGGGGATGGGAGGGAGAAGTGGTTTTTAAAAAACAGGAAAACGTTCTACAACCGCTACCATTGGCATGGGGATTTGGGTAAATGTGGAGCATGCATGAAGCTACCTTTCAAGTAGTTATTGACCGTCCCATTTACCCATAATCCAGCCATTCTCCAGTTCGATGAAGGGCTGTTGTGGAACACTGTATTGGAAACCAGCCTCCTGGCTTACCTTCTCGACCATCAGTAATTAGAGCCGAGGGGGTTTTTTCTTTGTTTTCATCCAGTTGATCTCCCCTGCTGAGTTTTGGCTGTCTTACTGATTGCTGGCTTGGCCAGGGGTAACCCGTGGAGTCAGTTTCATTTCCTTGTTCTCAGTGCTGCAGTGTTTGGGTTGCTTATGGAAGCATCTTTGTTTGTATGAAAAGCAGCTGCTCCCTCTAGGATCTAGTCTCTGGCTCTAGCCTGCAAGGGGGGGAGAGCTGGGGGAAGGGGGGGTAAGCTTCCTGGCAAGTTTTAAACCTCAAAGTAAGCTTTTCTTTGTTGTTGTTCTGCAGTTTTTGTCCTGCTGTGGTAGCTGTTTGTTTGTTGTTGCTGGAAACATGTCCAAAGTAGGGGAAATTTCAACCCAACAAAAGCCCGTTTTGTTCTGTTGTTTACATGCTGCCTCGTAACTGCTGCTGAGATCAAGGGCTCAAGTCCAGTCCTTTTTGGACTGGCCCGTTCTGGCCGGCCAGTCACTGCCCCAGGGCTCCGCACGCGCTTCCACTTGGGTTATTGCGCAGTTGTCCAGGGTGGTGATTCTGGCTGGAATATTTTTGCACCGGCTGATCGCGGGGACAAGATGCCGAGCTCGAGGGACCTGGGCTCTGCCGGGGGCGATGTTGTAACTGTCCACACGCTCACCCCACTGCCCAGCAATGTCCATGTGACAGCCATGCACTCCTCAGCTGGGGCTGTCTGGGCCAGAGCCCACACCAGAGTCATGGGGTCAGTAGGGGAGACGGGCTCAGAGTCCAGTCCGGCCTCGGAAACTGCTGCCGTTTGTTTCACTGTGGCCGTTCTCTGCCCCCCGGAGAGGCACTGCGCCCACACCCCCTCCCGTGGGGGATGAGAGCCGGGGGCCTGACATGGGTTCAACTTGAATTGAAGGGCGGCTGGTGGGGTTTCATTGTCTCCTTTGAAGGTGGGGTTTGTGACCAGAGTGGTTCCCCAGGGTCTGCTCCTCCCCAGGCCCAGCATCTTCTGGGGTTTCTTGTCTGTCTGGCCTCATGTGATCCCACCCCAAGGCCCAGTAGGGTCCCATGTCCAGCACCTGCGGCGTCAGGCTCTCAGAAGCCACATGCCCACCCCGGCAGGGGGGGTCGCTGTCATTGCCCTCATGATACGGAGGAGCCCAGGGAGTCCCAGAGAGGGATTTGCCCAAAGCTGGGGATGGAACCCAGGAGTCCTGATTCTAGTCCCTGCTCCAACAGACCTAGAGCAAAGACATTGAACCCAGGAGTCCTGACTCCCGAGCCGCAGCTCCAAGGCCTCCTTCCCTGGACCCGGCTCCTCAGTGGGGTAAGAAGGAGGGGCTTGCAGCTGGCTAGAGAATCCAGATGGATCTGGGAATCCCCTAGGGGTGTCGCTGGAGGGGCTGAGTGCAGGGGGCCGGGGGAGGCTGTGCCTTGTCACCTCCCCTTCTCCCCCAGTTACCAACACTATTGCGGGGTGCTTTGAGCTCCTTGCTGGGAGCTGATGTGGGGACAGGGAAGTTGCTGCCCTGGCTGTGGGGGTGACTAGTGGTTAGAGCAGAGGGGCCTGAGTCAGGACCCCCTGGCTACCAGCCCCCGGCCAGGCATTCCATATGCAACCCTGAGTGTCGCTTCCCTGCCCCGTGCCTCAGTTTCCCCAAATGCCTCCAGAACCGCAGCTGGGGGCGGTGCTAGAGAGCTGTAAACTCTTGTTGTTATGTGTGCAAATTAGGTGCTGCCTCTGGGCTCCTGGCAGAAATTGTCACCCTTCCCCACTGCCCCCCAGCCTCCCCTCCGCACACACATACGCCGTATAGCAAGGCAAATACAAGTTAAACCTTGTGTGTCTGAACGGGTTAATGCTACTCCAGCTTACTTCCCCCTTTTAAAACCACGGGGCTGGGGCCCTGGCAGAGGGAACTGGAGGTTTCACGATCACTGGGATGGCTGGTGCAATTAGTGGAGAGAAACCGGTGTGGAAGCCTGACTTGGGGTGGGGAGCGTGCCCCTCCCTCTCCCTCCCTAACAGCTCTGGGGGGGCTGCTCTGCCTGCACTGGTCTAGGAGCAGCTGAAAGCTCTTACGCTAAAGACCTCAAAGCCCCTGGCCTGCTGATCTCCTCCCCCCCCCACCACACACACCCCATTCCTTCTCCAGGGCCATTAACCAGCAGCTGCCACCGGTTTTCCAGCTGCTGGGGGCTCGTGTGCTATGAAAGCCGAGCCCCTGAGTTGGCCCTGCTTGCTGGGGGTGGGGGGTCTCCCCAACTTAACCCCTCCCCCCTGCCCCCAGGCACTGAGCTCGCTTCCTGAACCTGGCCTCACACGCTGTGTCCTGGGCGGACTCATTGACTCATCTGCCAGCTCCCCACCCCTGCTTGGGAAGCCCGTTGACAGCAGCTTCCCGGGGTGCCCGTGGGGCGTAGCTCAGAACCCAGCGCAGCTCTGCCCTTCCTCCGGGCCGGGGGCGGGTGCAGGTCGGCGCTCCAGCGGCTGTGACTTTCTGATGCCCGGGGCCCAGAGCTCCCCGATAAGCTGGAGGGTTATTGTGGATGGTGGGGGAAGGGCAAAGCTCGTTTCTCACAAACCTGGCCAGCGTGCCAAGGAGCCCTGGCCTGTCTCACATCTGGCGCTGCGCCTTCAGGGGCAGGGGAGAGCCGGCTTGGGGCAGCGGGGTGCTGTTCTCTCTCTTCTATGCCTGGCTCTGCCAGTGCCCCTCGCTCCTGCCCCCTCCACCATGTTGCAAGGGGCACCTGAAAGCCAGATTGGCATTTGCCAGCCCAGGGCGTTCTCAGTAACAGATCAGCCCTCGCTCTGTCTCGTCAGCCCTGCCATGCGCCTCTCCAGCGAAATGCAGGGAGATTCAGCTCCCCTGGCTCCTAGCCAGCCTGGCCCCCAAACTGTCCCCCAGTAACAAGACCATCTGCCCCCACTTGGGAGCGCCCCCCCTGCAGAGCCACCTGGAGGTGTCTTGTTCCCCTGTTTGCTTAGTCCATGCTGTTCCATTGACTTGGAAATCCTCCTGTAAGTGGTGCCCCTGCCAGAGCACCTCTCTGGGGAACCTGGCCCCACTGGGGAGATCATCTCTGTGTGGAGTTTGGACGCTGAAAGGCGCAGCCCCATGTGTGTCTGGCCGGGCCCCGGCTGAGATGGGCGAAGGGCTCTGGCTAGTTTGCCTTTGGGAGGGGGATAGGAGGGGGGGCTTCTTGTTGATGCTCCTGCTGCAGATGCTGCCCCCCCCCCGCCCCGCCCCACCCCGCATGCAGAGCGGGTGTGATCCTGGAAGCCAGGCGGACGGGCTGGGCCTGCGCCGATCCCAGGACGCTGGTAGTGCTGGCGGTCAAAGCCGTGCTTCCCAGGCGGCAGAGAGGCAAGGGTGGGTGAAGCCTCATTAGCCCCATTTTGCAGAGGGGAAAACTGAGGTTAACAGCCTGGGGCCAGCGTCCCCAGCTGGCGCAAATGGTCGGAGTGCCATTGACGGCAAGGGGATTACACTGATTTACACCCTCTCAGGAGCTGACCCCCTGGTTCTCAGGGCGCCTGCAGCTGCTATTGATGGTCTGGCTGTTGGGAGTTTGGCCCCGGGCGGCGGAGGGAATCTGTGTGCCGGTGTATGCCAGAAGAGGGTCGCCTGGGGGGGATAGACGGAGCCAGCGATACGGGCCTGCACTGTGACTGCAGGGATCGCTGTCCCAGTGACCCCGCCGCGTGCAGACACGGCTCGACATCTCTGGTGTCTGGCCGCTGCTCGGCGGACAAAGCCGCCGGCCTGGCCACCTCGCCATGGGCTGCCTGTGACAGTAGGAAGAGATGGGTCTAAAAGCTTTTGCTGCCGTCTCTTGGAAAGGGGGGAAATCCAGACCCTGATGCTTTCCTGTCTCTCCCCTCTTTCTCGGGGGGGGGGAGGGGTGCTACCTAATGGCACCCTAGGTTGCTCTGCAGCACATCTGTCCCCTATCCCAAAAAGGGCCGGGAGAGCAGCTGAGTTGCTGGGCCCCTGTGAGAGTGGGAGGGAGACCTGTCTCACTCTTGCCCACTCCCGTCCTCTCCCCAGGTACAGCCTGTACGCCCGCACCAAGCTGGGCTACCTCTTCTACAAGCGGCAGATGAAGAAAGCCCGGGAGCGATATCCACATGGCCACTCAATCCCCCAGCCCGTGATGTTCAACGGTGAGTCCTAGCTGCTTCTGGGGCTGCCCCCCACCCCGCTTCTGGAGCCCGTTCTCACTCATCCCACAGGTCCGGGGCCCAGACCAGAGTGCCAAGGTAGCACCCCGCCTGAGAGAGTGAGTCTCTAGCCCCCTCTAGCAGCTGGTGCATGAGAGGGTAACAGTCTACTACAGCTGCCAGCTAGTGGAGTTCCTCCTTTAGCTCCGGCGGCAGAGCCTTGTGCTTTTAGCACTGAAGGGGCCGGGTTCCATCGCGGGGGGATGAAGGGTGGTTACGCTAGCACATGGATCCAGGTTCGGGTTGGGCCGGGGTCTGGGGATCTAACTGGGCACGAGGAGCTGACAGACCCCGAATCTCGTGAGCTGCTCCAGCAGTAACTTGAGCCTCGTCTGAGCAAACTCTCCAATTCCGCTGCCTTGGCCCGAGTCCGGATTGGGACCAATGTTGCAGGGTCAGCGTCTGAGCGGGTTGGTCCCTGGACACTCAGGGCTGCCTGGGGTTTGAGGGTCTGGCTCAGAGCCCCTTTCTCAGCCGCTTGTCTGTCTGTCCTGTTCCCTCAGGGGTAAAGATCCTGCCGATCCCTGTGTTATCCAACAACTACAGCTACCTGGTCATCGACACCCACTCCAACGCTGCTGCCGCCATCGACCCCTCAGACCCGCTGGCCGTGCAGGTGAGAACTCCTCTCCCGCCCCACTGGGACCAGCGCCCCGCCCTCCGGCGCCTGACATTGACCAGGGGATCGATCCACTGAGACGCGCGGGGGGCGGGGAGATGGGACCCGCCCCCTTTCACCATCCCATAGCCGCTGTGCCACACTCTGGGGTGACAGCGGCTAGTGCCTGAGCCTTTCTCTGTGCCCCCTCTTCCTGCCCACCCTCCTCTCCCAACTGTCTTCTCTGTATCCTGAGGATCTGCCGGATTTTGCCAGCAGCACCGACCTTTGCCTGCCGGGCTGCCTGTCCCACCCTCCCTGGCGTAGGGGGCAGCAGGGGGGGGGGATCAGACAAGGAAGATCACCCCCAGCCTCGTTGCAATCGGTGCCTCTGGCCCTCTCGCTGCCCTGCTCTTCAGAGGCCCCCGCAGTCACCGGCCCAGCCCCCTCCTTCCTGTTGCCTGAGGCTGCGAGCCCTTGTGGTCCGGCCTGTTTGTTCCGCGGCCAGGTGGGTGCCAGAGACTCCATGGAGCCCGCTGGGGACTTGGCTGCTATTGATTTTGCGGGGAAGGTGCCCGGATACCATGGTGACGGGTGAAAGTCTAAACCCCTGAGAGAGAGAGAGCTGCGTGTGTGGGGCTGGTAGGAGGGGGAGGAGAGTGCGAGAGAAGGAACAGTGAGATATGCAGCACGGAGGAGGTGGGGGAGGCCACAGAAAGGAAATGCAGCACTCCCTTGTTTGGGGGAGGGGGAGGGTAATCCCAGCTCCTAACATACCCCTCCACCAATGGAACTGCCCTCAGTGACTGTGTGCACACCCACCCGCACCCCGTCACTCCGCTCTGCTTGGGCATTGGCCTCTCCCTCCCCCCAAGTTGCAGTGGGGTGATAGGGAGCATGGGACTACGGGGCTGGGGTAGGACCAAGGCTCCATGCCTGTCTCCAAGCCCCACGCTGTGGGCACTCAGAACTTCGCAAGTGGGGCGGGATGCTGCTCCCCCAGCTGCACAGCGCGAAGGAGAATCCCCTTAAGGTCGTAGCGCTACAGGGCCCATGACACAGATGAGCAGTGCTGAATCCAGCCAGCAGAAGGCAGCGGTGCATGCACTGTCTCATTACAACCTGCTTTACAGAGAACTTGGCTGCCCCTTTTAACCCCGTCATGGCCAGTCCTAGCGACGGGAGACAGCAGCAGCTGGTGCGTCAGCCCCTCGGTGGCCCCGTCTCTGACACAGGGGACGCTTTGCCCGAGGGGCACCAAGACGGCACCCAAGGTGGTCAATACAAACCAACTGCTGGCTCCGCTCTGGTGCGCCCAGCCGGTTGGATCTGTGCCCACAAGTGGTGCCTGCTGCGCCCTCCCTGAGAGCAGCTGCCCCCTGTGCACGCTGCCAGGACATGCCAGGCTCCAAACCCGTTACAGAGCCACCTGGGAGCAGGGCTGAGTCACTCAGGGGCCGGCCTCTGGGCAGGCGGAGGGGGTGGCCTCTCTGGAATCTTGTTCAAACGTGCCCGCGGCATGTGGGAGCTCAGCAATGCAGATTGCTACTACATTGGCCTGGGTTCTTTTTAACCCCTCAGTGCCTGGAACTCACTTAGCGCCAAGAGCAATGAATCCTGGGGAATGAACGTGGAGGGGGACCTGCCCTTGGGGCTGGCAGGAAGCAGCGGGAGGAGAAGGGGAAACGCGGCAGAGACAAAGGAAGAGCAGCTGCTGCATGGAAATGACTGCTTCTCCCAGGGCAGGGTCTGCGCTGAGCCTTCCCTGAGCCCCCAGCCGCGAATGGGCCACCAGCAGGACAGGACTGACTCTCAAGTAGCCCTCCCCTCTGCCCATCTAGGGCAGGAGCCACTGCATGAGCCGCTCCGCTCCCCAGCCAGATCGGGGTGGCCTAGGATGCTTTGGAAGCGACTGGCAGGACCATTGGCCTGTATAGAATGACTTCTGGGGCGCAGGGGGGGCTCCCAGCCCCCCGTGGGAGCTCAGGGTTAGAGGCCTCTTGGTGCAGAGAACTGAGATTCTCTGCTCTGGTCACTGTCACCTCGAAGCCCCAGCCTGGAGCTGGGTCTGGAGCTGGGTCTGCTCCCAGAACAGCCCCAGGCTTATGAACAGCTGCACGGGTGGAATCTGGGCTCACGGAGGGTCAGCAGCATCCCCCCTCCCCCTCCAGCAAAGGGGGCCTGACCCAGAGGTTGTCTGGCTGGCTCCCAAGCTCAGTGTCGCTGGTTAAACAGTGTGTGAAGTAAAAAGCGCCGGGGGCAGGAAATGGCTCGGCGAAGCTGAAGACGAAAAGTGAGGTGGCAAAATTTACAGACGATGCAAAATTATTCAAGATCGTTCAGCCCAGAGCTGACGGCGAGCGAGGAGCGACAAAGGGACCTCACCAAACTGGGCCACGCAACGGCAGATGAAATGCAATGCTGAAAAAAGGCAAAGTAAAGCACCCTGGGAAAAGTAATCCCAACTATATGTAGAAAATGCTGGGGTCTAACTTAGCTGTTACCGCTCAAGAAAGAGATCTGGGGGTCATTGTGGATCGTTCTGTGGAAACATCTGCTCAGTGTGCAGTGGCCGTCAAAAAATCAAAAAGAATGTTAGGAACCATTAGGAAAGGGCTAGATAATGAGACAGAAAATACCATATTGCCTCTCTATAAATCCATGGTACGTGCACACTTTGAATACGGCGCAGTTCAGGTCGCCTTATCTCAAGAAAGAGAGATTGAAAGTGGGAAAAGGTCAGAGAAGAGCAACAGAAACGAGTAGGGGGATGGAACAGCTTCCGTATGAGGAGAGATTAAAAAGTCTGGCACTGTTTGGTTTTGGGAAAAGATGACTGAGGGGGGATATGAGGGAGGTCTATAAAATCATGACTGGTGTGGAGAAAGTGACTAGGGATGTGTTATTTACCCCTTCACATAACACAAGAACCAGGGGTCACCCAATGAAATTAACCAGCAGCGAGTTAAAACAAACATAAGGAAGTGCTTTCACACAACGCCCAGTCAGCCTGTGGAACTCCTTGCCAGGGGATGTTGTGAAGGCCAAAACTAACTGGGTTCAAAAAAGAGCTAGATAAGTTCCTGGCGGATGGGTCCATCAGTGGCTATTAGCCAAGATGGTTAAGGACGCACCCCCCTGCTCTGGGTGTCCCTAAGCCTCTGACTGTGAGAAGCTGGGAGTGGAGGACATGGGGTGGCTCACCCGCTCATTGCCCGGGTCTGTTCATTCCCTCTGAAGCACCTGGCACCGGCAATGGTCAGAGACAGGATCCTGGGTGAGATGAACGATTGCTCTGCCCCAGTCCGGCTGTTCTTACATTGCTGAGCTACGACTTCCCTGGGGATTCCTGTAGCAATGGGGTGGGGCCGGCCATGTGTGCTGGAGAATTGGAGTCCTGACCCACACCAGGGGCTGGGCGGGATCTGAGCTGCCGTGCGGAGCCCTGGGTTTCCCCCCTGCCAGGCTGGGCTACTCAGCCCTATGGCAGTCCCGGGTTCGAGTCTCGCCCATCACACCTGGGGCAGCTGTGGGATCTGGGGGCAATGCCTTTGCACGGAGTGTGGAACAACGGGGGGGGGGATAGGTCAGAGCGACTGGAGGGTGCAGCAGTGGGGAGCCCCGGGGCCCCCCAATATCAACAGCTTCCCAGGCAATTCTGGGCTTGAATGAAATCATGTGGCTGACGGATTAGGGGAGGCGCTGGCTGGCTGGTCACCTCCTCTCCCATGTCTGTCCCCCAGTTGATTGGGCAGCCCACCCCACCAGGCAGCTCCCTGCTTCTTTAGCCCCTGGGGTGGGCTGGGTTTGCCCCCCTGGGCTGGGCTGCTTACGCTCTCTCTTCTTCCAGGCAGCCATCGAGCAGGAGGGGGTGACGCTGGAGGCCATCCTGTGCACCCACAAACACTGGTACGGGGGCTGGTCTGGGGGACAGGGCCTAGGGCAGGTCATTGCCCTTTGGGGGCGGGGCTGTGCTGGGAGGGAGGCAGAGCATGGGGGGAGCCCAGGGCTGGGGCTGCGGTGGGATTGAGGGTCAGGGAAGGGCTCTGCCCCGGTGTGTCCGGCTGCCATGTGGAAGCGATGGGCAGTGCCGGAACAGAGGGGGAATCTGGGGAGGTCGGCGGAGCTGAGAGGAGCCCATCCTGAAAGTCCCTTGTTAGCAGGGTGAGGAGGGAATCCGAGGCTTGCTCTGGCCTTCCCTGGCCCAGCCCCCCGGGAGCCCCTTCCTTTCCTGGCCTTGGACTGCTGCCTACAGCTGGGGCGGGGGCTCCCGGGGCCAGCTGGCAGGTGCCTCTGCGGGGCCGATGAGACAGTGGCTCCGGCCTGGGGGCCCTGCCCTTCCTCCAGTGGTGCGGGGGATTTATCTCCCTGGATGTCCCTCTCGGAGGCAGCGCCTCACCCCTGCCTTTCCCTCCCAGCTGGGGGGACGGGCCCCACTCCTCGGAGGTGGCAGAATGAGTCGCTGCTGTGCGGGCAGAGTGGGAACCCGGACAGATCAAACCCCCCCCCTTCCAGGGGTCCTGTGTTCCTTCCTCTTCAGTAGCTGGTGCCCTTAAAATCTGCCCCCCAGTCCTGGCTGCTGTTGGGGGGCCTCCCTGGACCGTGGGTTTGGTAGGTCTCCGGCCAGTTCCCAGGGGACAATGGTTCATCTCCAAACCCCACAACCAGCCCCCTCGTTAACCGTACTCGAGGCCAAGGCTGGGGCTCCCCGGTGGGTCTGTGGCCCGTGGGCAGGAGCTGGCGCGAGGGTTAGAGACGTGGTCCCTGGAGCCGTGCAGCTTGGCTGCAACGTCAGCTCTGGCCTGACCGATCCCGCCCCCTCTCCAGCCCTGGGGGAAGATGGGACTCTCACCAGCTGCGTCTTTCCTTCCTTGTGCCCCCTTCAACACCTGCCCCTTTCCCTGCCCCCTTCCAGTCTCCCCCGGGTGGGTGAGCCGTGCAGCTGGGTTACCCCAGCCTAGGCGAGGACCCTGGAACTCCCCTCCCCACTTCCATCCTCGCTGGCTCTGGCCAAATGCCGCAGCTGGTTCATTTCAACCACCTGCTCCCCTCGTCCCAGCCACCACAAGGGCACCCCCAGCCCCTCCTCCCACCTCCGCGAACGCGGTTCTGTTCCGGGTTGGCGTGGGGGTGCCCTGACACAGCCCCCTCCCCCAGCGCTGTCCCCAGGGACCTCGGTGGCTTTGATCTCATGAGCTCGGAGGGGGGGATTGTAACGTAAGCCATGTTCGCTTCCTGAAAGGCAGCGGTTTAGCGTGGGCCGGGCCCTGGCTTATCTCTCCCCGGCACATGTGGCTGGGCCGGATAAGGGGCAGGGGCCGGGAATGCTGGGGGGGGGATGGCCACGAGCCAGAGCAGTCTGGACGAAGCGTGTGTGTGTGTGCGGAGGAGAGCGTGACGGGCAGGGAGCCCCCGAGTTTGGGGCGGTTGTAGAGGGGCGCAGGGGATCCTGGGACAGTGCCCTGCAGAGAATGATCGTGCCCTGGCAGAGGGGGCTGGATGGGCCCCAACGGGCCCTTCCTTTGGGTGACTGCAGCGCTGCCCGCATCCTCCCCCGGCCAGTGGCCCGCGTGCACCCCAGCCAGCGGCCCGCGTACGTGTACGCACACACACACGCCCCCACCCACCCCCGTGTACCATGGCTAGTCCCTGCTGGGGGTGCCTGGAGTCTGGCCTCCGAATGAGAAGCCGCACAGATTGGAGTGAGCAGGGATTCTGTCTGGGGGGGGGGGAGGTGTCACCCTCCCTCCCCCCCAGCATGGAGCACCCTGTTCTCCTGGGATTTGGGGCCGCTGACCCCTCAGCTTTCTGCTCCCCCGGCATGAGTGGAGAGGGGCAGCGGGATACCGACTGAGCGGGAAGGGATACGAGGAGCTGGAGGGGATAGACACTAAACGCTGGATTCGGGATGGGCTGTTAAAGGAGGGGGGGCAGGTCTCTGTGCCTGGTGGGGGGGCCCTGGGTAGATGTATGCACCCCAGGCAGCACGGATGGGGGGTTGCTCAGCAGGGAGAAAGTCGGGGTGCCCATGGAAGCCAGGGAGGGTTTTAGTATCGAGTGGGGGAGGGGAAGGGTCGGGGTGTTTGGCGCCAGGGTGGACAACTTTCTACTCGCACAAAACCTAACACCCCTTGCCCCGCCCCCTGCCCCGCCCATCATCCAAGGCCCGCCCCCTCACTCCACCCCCTCGCTCGCTCGCTCTTCCCGCCCTCATTCACTCGAGGGGGTGGGGGTGAGGGCTCTGGGGTGGGGCCAAAAATGAGGGGTTTGGGGTGCAGGAGGGGGCTCTGGGCTGGGGGGTGGAGTCGATGTCCTTGGCGGGGGAGCTGACAGTCTCTCTCCTGCAGGGATCACAGCGGGGGGAACATGGCGCTGAGACGGCGTTACGGCTCCTGCAGGGGGGACGGCCGGGCTTGTGGTGCCATCCCCTAG